ATAACAGTAATTGTGTTTCTTATTAAGCATTAAAAGGCTTCTGTCTTTCAACTTCATAGGTAACTATTGAAAGAGTTCCTTATTGGACCCCAGATGGAAAGAATACTGTCCTAACTTGAATACAGTTAACTGTAGATTTTATGCCTAGAAAAAGAAGGGATAATTTTCATAATCTTTTTTTTTAAGACCAGAAGTATCAAGGGGACATACACAAGGGTGATAGGACTTACAGAACTTCATATATGAAGAGTAGATTGGCTTTAAGTTGGAGAAATGTCCAAGCCAAATTTAGTGATTGATTGTCATTGATGCAGAAAGTTAGAGAAAACACACAAGTGTACTAGTTCTCTGTTTCTTTCAAGTCTTGTTGCTTGTATCATTTTTTGTGTATCTTCAACTCTTTTAGTGAGACGTTATATGATATGTGTACAAAAAGACATTATTTTATATTGCAAGAAAAATAATACTTGTATCATGGTCTGATAACCAATTAGCCACATACTGGAAAAAAAATGTGTCTAATACTTGTACACTCACTGTCTCCAAGCTACCAAATGATGCCAAGATCTTTACAGATGCCATCACAGAGGAATTTGGAAACATTACTTTTTTCCACTTTTTATTGTGGTTTGAGTTAAATTTTACAGAACATATTGGGATTCCATTCAACTACTCATAAATATTTTATGACGCAATGGCTTTTTTGTTGTCATAACACAGAATGTGATCCCTACCTTCTGAGTTTTTTCACTGGGCAAATATGACCCTTGTGATCTTGTGTAGGTGATTGTTTCAAAGGCTGAGCATGTCCTTGATACTATGGCTCACCTTATAAAAAGGTCTATTGTTTGACCACTAGTTGTGCTGCAGGAGAGAGATTCGTCCAGGAGGGTCATAGTCTTGGGGGCTTCACAGTCTTTGTAACATCAGTTTTGTTTCTTGATTTCTCTTCTGCTCTATCCAGGAACCTCTAGTTCAATCCCTTTCAGAGAAGTTAGCGTTGGTAGCTGGGTACCATTTGTTTCTTCCAATCACAGGGTCATGAACGTTGAAGATTTTGAGGTCTTTTGTTACTCTGGAATAATAGCTTGCACGTATCTTTAGTTTTTCTCACTCTTCCTTAGCCAGACAAGGAGACGCCATGGCTTACACTTTAGATGGCGGCTCATTTTGAGTCTCATTCTGTCCTCCAATGTAGGGTGTAGGACATCGTCCTTAGACATACGTTAATCCAACTGACCATTACATTCTCTGAGACTCTGGTCTTGAGCCCCTATGAGCTCATTCTCTCAGAGTGTGTGGTTATACTTAAGAAGTCTACATAATAATCATCCCCTTTATGACTATACTATGTACATGAATATATATGCAACACATATAAATACGAATGTGAAAAATATAATCTGCCAAGCCTACATGTGATGCCTTTCAGGTACCTATATCTGTTTGAATTGGCAGCATCAGTATGGATGGTGAAGAGATTGAGATAGTTAACAGTTTCAGTTTGCTTGGCTCCACAGCCATCACTCTTGGTAACAGCAGCCAGGAAATCAAGAGACGAATTGCACTGGGAAAGTCGGCTGTGAGGGACCTCTCAAGAGTACTGAAGAGCAACGATTTCAGGCTGGAGACTAAGGTGCGCCTGATCCAGGCTATAGTCTTTGAAATCACATGCTATGCATCAGAGAGTTGCACAGTGAATAGGGTTGATAGAAAGAAAATTGATGCCTTTGAGCTGTGGTGCTGGAGAAGAGTGTTGAATATACCATGGGCTGCTGACAAACAGGTTTATCCTGGAGAAGGTGAAGCCGGAATGCTCCTTGGAGGCAAGCATTCTGAAGCTTCGTCCGACATACTTTGGGCATGTTGCAAGGAGGGACTGGTCCTTGGAGAGGGACATCATGTTTGAGAGAGTAGAGGGACGGCACAGGAGAGGAAGACCCTCGATGAGATGGATCGATGGAGTGGTGGGAATGAGTGTGTTTGAGACAGCGAGATTGGCACAGGATAGAACGGTGTTTAGGGCTCTTGTACATAGAGTCACTGAGTCGCAAGCGGTATACCACCACCACCACCACCACAACAACAACAACAACAGCCTTCTGGAAGGTCAGCTATAAGTTGGTTCCAACATGACAGCATGTAACAACAACTGCTGGTATTGTGGACAATGCATATGCATATCCCTATCGTGGTCTAGTGAGTCACGTAAAGGAAAGGCTGTATAAAGTAAGGGACAATTAGCATAACATCATTTAAGGAAGGGAAGACAAGCGTACAGAAGGAATTTGTAAGCTTTTGATAGTAGTTTTCTTTCAAATTTATTTCCAGTAAGTTATGACAAGCATTGCATTTCAGAACATTTAGCTCTTTTACAAATATAGAAACAATTTCAACTTTTATTTAGTAATTTGTGTTAGATCCCTGCAATAAATTAATTATAATGTGCAATGACCATATAGGACAGACTAGAACTGATCCACAGGATTTCAGAGGGTGTGAACTGTGGATCCAAGCAAGATGAAGATGTTGACAGTTTCAATCTCCTCTCCATCCCTCATGGCCCTGTCTATTGGTCCAGTGGTAAGAATCTTTGTTTTCTTGACATTGAGATTCATTCCATACTGAAGACTGCATTCCTTGATCTTCTGCAACAAGTAGAAGATTGCTTATATTTCTCCTGAGTGACTGGTGAGTTTGAAATACAACTTTTAGTTTTCAGCCCAGTATTTAACCTGTCCCTCTGCCCCTGCCTTTGGACCTCTATTTCTTTTGTCCTCAAGACTCCCCTGTCCAAACCACTCAGACTGGCTCATGCAGCCTGCAAAGGTCTAATCCCCCTCCAGGTGCTGGAGTGAGTTCATTGTCACTCTGCTGTGTGGTCCATGACTGGTCGCCTTTGCTGTTTACTCTGCTCTCTGCTTCCCCCTGTCCTCTGTTGAGTGTGAGTGGCAGTGATGCTCCCCCAACCTTCCTGGTGGGCTTCTGCATCCTCAGCTGAGCCCCCTGGAACCCTGTGCTGTGTGACCCTGTCACTAGACCTGGGATCTGCTCTTAGTGGATCAGACAGATGCCCCCTTCTCACAGCTGTTCGGTGTGCGTTAGCTTTAGGTGATTTCTGCTCGGGGGCTGTTAGAGACATTGATGCTGATTTTCCTGTGTAATTGGGACCAATTATCCCATTGTGAAAATAGGCAGATGAGCTAAAGTATACCATTTAACATGCTTTGAAACGTTTAATATGTAATCTGTGAAGTGCATTTGGTGAATTTCTGGGAAATTTGAGGTTGATAGAGTGGAGACACGGAAGATCGGTACAAATAAGGCGCATGAAACTAACACCCACCCATTCTGGCTAGGGTCAGTGTGCAGCCAGCTTTCCCATAAGTCGTTTCCCTCTCTCACCGAAATTTACAATTATAAATAAAATGTCCAGCAATATAATTCTTGCATTTGGGTAATGTTTACATTACATAATCTCTCTTGTACATTACAGCTTTGAATTTTCACAAACTCTTGGGAAATAGGTAAGTTCATCATTATCATGTACTTGTACTAATGAGGAAAACTGTGCGGTGGGTAAATCGCTGCTTGGGGAGATGGAATATGCACTGAGATTTAATTGCATCGCCCTCCTCTGAAAACTAACAGGAGAGTCCGCTATGAGTTGGTTCTGATTCAACAGTATATAACAATATCAAAAACAACAACAACCTCTCCTTGCAGAAGTTTATCAAAATTATCTTGTATGTTCCAGAACAAATGGATTTTTTTTCCCAATTCTACACCTTTTCTCCCACCTGGACTGTCCCAGTTTTTACCTGCTCGGGAGGTATGAACTTTCAGAGTTACTGAACAGACATCCTGTTGTCTAGCATCCTTAGCGCTCAAGTAAAGTTTATAAATTTGGAGTATTGATTTTCTAAAGCGAATGCTTAAAGACTTCTTTCAGAGCATTTTACAATCGATTTTCTTAAAATTATGTAGCAACCAAGATTGAACTATCACAGAATTGTATTTATTCAAAAGGGCAATACTTTATTAACTTTCAGTCTCTGAACAAACCTAGAAAATAAGATGTGTGTGTGTATGTGTGTGTGTGTGTGTGTGATTTTCTAGGATCTATAGTTTGCTGGTTTTCCTTTTTAGAAACATACTAGTCCTGCACTCTTACTGATAAAGGTGTGTGCCAGGTTATTCACCTTTCACTTCAGTCTAGGGAGACTGCGGTGGCTTACCTGATGCTCGTGGTTATGCTACTGATATTTCAGATACCAGAAGGATCCCACGTGGTGGAACTTGTTCAGAGGAGCTTCCAGTCTAAGATAGTCTAAAAAGCAGAACTGATCATCTACTTCAAAAAGAATAGGTCTTTGAAAACACCATAGATAATGGAAGGAATTGTTGGATATAGTTCCAAATGAAGGGCCCCTCATGTTGGAAAGCACCAAAACTGTCACTGGGGAAGTAGCATCTGCCATAATGATGTGGAGAGAGCTAAGCTTTCATCCAATGAAAACCCTTTAGTTCTGATGTAGCAAGACTCAAAACGAGGAGAAATAGCTGCAATCATCCATTCATAATTGGACTATGGAAAGTACCAAGTTTGAATCTAGTCAAATTTAAAGTGGCTGACAACAAAATGGAATATATATTTATCTTAAGCATTAGTGAATTGAAATGGATAGGTGTTGACCATTTTGAATCAGAAAATCGTATCATTTACTCTGGCAGGAATGACAAATTGAAAAGGAATGGGGTCACATTCATCATCAGAAGGAATATTTCAAACGTATCCTGAAACCCAATGCTGTGGGTGACTGATCTCTTTATGTACACAGAAGGAAGACCCGTTACTAGAACTACTATTCAAACCTATGCACCAACCACTAAAGCTAAAAATGAAGAAATTGAGGACTTCTACCAACTTCTGAAGTCTGAAACTGGTCAAAAATGCAACCAAGATGTATTCATAATAATTGATGACTGTAATACGAAACATGGACATAAACAAGAATGATCGGTATTTGGAAAATGTGAACGTAGTGACAGAAACAGATTGGAGTCTGAATGCTAGAATTTTGTACAATTGTTTACTCATTGCAAAGAATTTTTTTCTTAAAGCTGCCCATGCCTTTTTATTACAGCAACACTGGAGAAGCCTGGTGGTTTAGACTACAGAGAGTTAAGCTAGTAGTCCAGAGGCTGAGCCTCCTGGTGGGTCAAATCTGCCAGCCGCAACACTGTAGAAAAAGGGAGAGTCTCCTCCTGTTTGATTGGTTGTTTTAAACCATGCACATAAATAAAAACCAAAACAAAAGAAAACAAAACCATAAATGGCAATTATACACACAAACCTCACCTGATAACGTTACACAGGAATCAAATTAACTACCTCTGTGGAAAGAGACACTGGAGAAGCTCAATATCAGCAATCTGTAGGCTGATTACAGAACCAATTATCAACTACTCATACGCAAGCTCAAATTGAAGGTGAGGAAAAGAAAAACAAGACCATAACAATGAAAATGTGCTCTTGAGTCTATCTCAACTAAGCTTAAAAAGCCATCTCCAGAATAGCTTTGAGGTATCGAACACTAATGACTGAAAACCAGACGAGGTGTGCGAGGACATCACTCATGAGGAAAGCAAAAGGTCATTACGAAGAGTAAGAAGAAAGGAAAAGCTCCAAATGGACTCTGAGAATTGCACTGGAATGAAAGGAAGCCCAAACAAGGAAAATGGAATACGGATAAAAGAGGCTTGATTTCAAAGGACAGCTCACTGAAACAGATGGTTTCAAAGGGCAGCTCATTAAGACACAGCAAATATTATGAATAAATGTGCAAAAGTCTGGAAGAACACATTCAGCATTTCTCAAGCTGGACAAATTGGAGACTAAATTTAAACATCAAGTTTCAATACTGAAGGATTCTTTGAGGAAAATCTCAAAAGATACAGAAAGCATCAGGAGAACCTGGAAGGAATATAGAGTAACTATGGACTGCCCAGAAAACCAAACATATACATACTGGAAAGGGTCTGCTCAGAGAATTCCTTGGAGGTAAGGATGACCAAGCTTCGTCTTTAATACTTCATGTGCAGCTGGGCAAGGCCATTCCTTGGAAAGGGACATCATGCTTGGAAAGACGGAGGGTCAGTGAAGGAAAGGAAGACCCCCAGTAAGATGATTTGACACTGTGACTTCAGCAATGGACTCTAGTGTCTCAGGGATGGCAAGGATGGCACAGGATAAGGCAGGTTTCAGTATGGCTGTTCATAGGGTTATTATGACTTATACCCACGTTGATGGCATCTAACAACAACAACAACATGCCAAGAAGAACAGCATTGTACCGTTCCAGGAAATGGCCTGTGATTAAGAACCAATGGTACTGAAGGAAGAAGTCTAAGTGTCACTGAAGACATTGTCAAACACAGGGCCCCAGGAATTGATGGAATACCCATTGAATTGTTTTAACAAAGAGATGCAGCCCTGGATGTGCTCACCAGTTTATGCCAAGGAATATGGGAAACAGCTACGTGGCCAACTGGCTACAAATGATGCATATTTGTACCCATTCCTCGAAAAGGTGAGCCAATAGGTTGTGGAAGTTATTGAACAGTATCATTGACATTACATGATAGCACAATCTTGCTGAAGGTTATTAAAAAATGGCAAAGATCTTGAAATTCAAGCTGGATTCAGAAAAAGACGTGGAATGAGGGATGATATATCATTGCTGGTGTCAGATGGATTTTGACTGAAATTAAGAAATGCCAGAAAAATGTTTATTTATGTTTTATTGACTATGCAAAGGCAATTAGCATATGAATAATAAATTATTACTAACTGTGAGAAAAATGAGAATACCGGAATACTTAATTGTGCTTAAGTGAAGTCGAGACACAGACCAAGAAATAGTGATCCGAACCGAACAAGGAAACATGGGAGTTAATGAAAAAATTAGGAATTGTATGTGTCGGAGATGTATCCTTTTTCTATACTACTCAATCTCTGTACTGAGCAAATAACTTGAGAACCTGGGCTGTCAGAAGAAGGAAGTCACATTAGATTTGAAGGAAGAAGCATAAAAAACTTGCACTATGCAGAGAACATCATTTTTCGTGCAGAAAATGAAGAAGACTTCAGGAACTTACTGGAAAAGATTAAGGACTGAAGCTTTTAATATAGATTAAGTTTCAATATCAAGAAAACAAAAATTCTCACCAAAGGGTGAATAGGCAACATTATGATAGAGAAAGAAAAGCATAAAGTTTTCAACACTTTCCTTTTACTTGAATCTACAATTAACATTCAGGGTAGCAGCAGGCAAGAAATCAAAAGCATTGTCCCATTGGAAGATCCGCAGTCTAAACCTAAAGAACTAAAGATCAAGGATGTTAGTTTAAAGAGTAAAATATGCTTCATCTAGGCCATTGCATTTTCAATTTCTTTGGAAGCATATGGAAGTTGAGCAAGAGCCAAGAAATACTGAAATAGAATTTCTATCTTTGAATTGTGGTGTTGGATAGGAGTATTGATTATACCATGGATTGCCAAAAGTATAAACGAATCTGTTTCAGAGGAAGTGTAACCAGAGTGGTCCTTAGAGGCAAGGAAACTTAGACTCACATACTTGGAGCACACTGTCAGAAGGAGTCAGTCTCTGGAAAAAGACATCAGCGTAGGTGGGAAAGATAGTGAAAGAGACCTACATTCAGCTAGGTGGAGTAGCATAGTGACTATAATACTGTGCTTGGTCGTGGAGGAGATCATGAATATGAAGAAAATAGGGTGAAATTGTTTATTGGGTTACACAGCCCTGCTTGCTGAAACTGAGGAGGACCTGAAACACTTGCTACAGAGGGTCAAGGACTGCAGCCTTCAGGCTCAATGTCAAGAAGACAAAGATTCTCACCACTGGACCAATTGGTAGCATCAGGATGGATGGTGAAGAGATTGAGATTGTACACAGCTTTAGTTTGCTTGGCTCCACAGTCAACACTCTTGGCACCAGTAGCCAGGAAATTTAAAAAAAAATGTATTGCGATGGAAAAGGCTGCTGTTAGGGACCTCTCCAGGGTACTGAAGAGCAATGGTGGCACTCTTTGTAAGTGTAAGAGTAAGGTGCGTCTGACACAGGCTATGGTCTTTGCAATCACTTGTTATGCTTCAGAGAGTTGGACAATGACTAGGGAGGACAGAAGGAGAATTGATGCCTTTGAGCTGTGGTGCTGGAGAAGAGTATTAAGGGTATCATGGACTGCTAGGAAAACAGATTCATCCTGGAGACGGTTAAACCAGGCTGCACCTTGGAAGCAAGGATTCTGGGGCTTCGTCTGACATACTTTGGACATGTTGTGAGGAGAGACCGGTCCTTGGAGAGGGACATCATGCTTGGTAGGGTGGAGGGCAGGCTCAGGAGGGGAAGGCCCTCTATGAGGTGGATTGTTTCAGTGACTGGGATAATTGGGATGGGTGTGTTGGAGGCAGTGCGATTGGCACAGGATAGAGGAGGGTTTAGGGCTGTTGTACTGGAGAGCACATAACAACAACAACAGCAACAACATAAAGGTCATTACAAAGACAAGAGAAGAACGAAAATGATGTCATAAGAAAAACTGCATTAATGCACTGCTAAGTCAAAACAAAGAGAGATACCAAAGAAAGAGCTGATCAGATTTCAAAGCAAAGCTAGAGAACACAAAGCAAAGTGTTATAATGAAATGTGCAAAGAGCAGGAGTCAGAATAAAAAAAAGAATAACTCATTTAGCATTTCTCAAGCTGGAAAAACAAAAAACCAACATCAAGCTAAGGCTTGCAAGCTGCATTGAAGACAATGGCAAAAAAATAAGGCCCCAGGGATAGACGGGATACCAGTTGGCATGTTTCAACTAACAAATGCAATCCTGGACATACTCATCCGTCTATACCAGGGAATTTGGAAGACAGCTGCTTGGCTGAATGTCTGGAAGAGATCCACATTTTTTCCCCTTCCCAAGAAAGGGGAGCCAACAGAATGTGGAAATTATCAAACAATATCATTAATACCACATGCAAGCAAAATCTTGTTGAATGTCATTTCAAAATGGCTATAACAGTACATTGACAGGGAACTGCCAGAAGTTCAAGCTAGGTTTAGAAGAGCATGTGACACTGGCGATATCATTGCTGTCACATGGAATCTGGATGATGTCAGAGGGGTGGGAAGCAGAGAATATCAGAAGAATGTCTATCTGTGTTTTGTTAGCTGTGCAAAAGCTTTGAGTATACGGATCATAACAAATTATGACAAACACTGAGGACAGGAATTCCAAAACAATTGTGCTAATACAAAATCTATGCCTAAGCTGTTGTTTGAATGGAACAAGGGAACACTGTGTGGTTTAAAATAAGAGAATGTGCATCAAAGCTGTTTCCTTTCTCCGTAACTATTCAATCTATATGTTGAGCAAATCATTCATGAAGCTGGATTCTATGAAGAGTGACACAGTGTCAGGGTCAACACCCTGTGTTATGCAGATGACAACCACGCTTGCTGAAGGTGAGGAGGACTTAAAAGGCTTGCTGCAGAAGATCAAGAACTAGCACTTTCAATATGGTTTAAATCTGAGCATCAGGAAAACAAAGATTAAATTGAAACTATTTTCAGGATAGTTGCATAGAAAGGGTTGAAACTATTAATGATTTCATCATACTGGATCCACAATTAACATTCTTTGTAACCGACAGTCAGGAGATCAGGAGACACTTTGCTTTGGGCAAGTTTACGGTCCTGACCTTTCTAAAATACTGAAGAGCAATGATGTCAGTTTGAAGACTAAGGTGTGCCTCTTTTAGCCCTTGTTCTTTTCAGTCACTTACCATGCATCTGAGAGCTGGATAATGAATAGGATGCCAGTGGATGAATTGATGCCATTGATTTGTGGTATTGGAGAAGAGTACTGACTATCCCATGGACTGCCAAGAGAACAAACATACGTCTTGGAAAATCTGTAGCCAGAGTGCTACTTGGAGGCAGCGATGGCAATGTTTCATCTCTCCTACTCTGGACATGATGCTAGAAGAAGCTAATCCTTGGAAAGGGGTATCATCATACTTGGAAAGGTGGAGGCTTAGTGAAAGAAAGGAAGACCACTAACGAGATAGATTGTAGCAATGGGCTCAAATGTATCAGAGATGATGAGGATGTCGTCTGCGTAACACAGGACAGCATAGAGTTAAAATCTCTTGTTTGTAGGGTCATGAGTTGTGCTCAATTTGACAGCATCGACCAACAACAGCAGGAGTTCTTGTGGTTGTTGAGTTGATGGCATCAAACAACAAATACAACAACATATCCTTTACCTGCACAGATTGTTTTAGGAATGGACATTTGACCCAGTTTGGCCAATAATTTGAGTCTCAGATGAAGCCACATTGTTGTTGTCAACTATAGATTGAAACCTTGCCTATTCGTCACCATCCTTACCATACAAATCCGTTTTGTTGAAGGTCTTTCTTTGGTGACCCTCTAATTTCCCCAGGAGAATGTCTTCCCCCCCCCCCAAGAACTGATGTCTCCTGACAACACATCCAAAGTATATGAGGCATCATTTCAATACTCTTGCTTTTAAGTACACACTACTTGGTTAAGTAAATATTCCATTTTACATACTTGTGGAACAGCAATGATAAAATTATTTAGCTTAGAGGGTAGTCAAATAAGATAATGATTATGAAAAAATGGTATAAATATTAATTATTTTCCTGAAGAGTAACGATTTAATATACAATTAATTGCCAAGCTCATTCTGTTACTGAACGTAAGGGGTTCTTTCTGTAGTCAGTTGCCATTAAGACAAACGGACTGCAATATCCATAAATGCACTTTATTACACAGATCTGAAAAACAGCGCGTCAACTCTAAGACTGCCTCCCCGTCTGGGAGTGGTCATGGCCTTATATACTAGGGTGAAACTCCAGCTCATTTAACAATGCCCCTTTTGTTAGTAAAAAAGAAAAGGTTAGTTTCTACATCTGAAAAGGACAGTTGCCATCTATGCATCAGTAATTCAGGAAGGCCCCAGTTCTCTTCCTGGTAAACAGGCAGATTAAGATACTGTTTACATATGACTGGAGAACCAGCTTCCCCAGCATCTAGGATAGATGCATTTCCTCTTCTGGTAAACAGACACATCAAACTACTCTACATGACTGAAGACAGGAAACAGAGAATTCAGAAGCTAAGCAACTAGGTTTGTAGGCTGAAGAAAAAGAACTAGCGTTTTATAATTGATGCCTATATAGAGAATTCTGAACTTATTAATACCACACTCTCATTCCCCCCTCTTTTTACATAAGTTTTATATCTATAAGACAAACATACCACCCCATCATTCCCTGTTCTTTTTATATATAAATCTTATATCTATAAGACAAACATACCACCCCATCAATACCCCCAGTGCCCCCCACGTGTGAATTTTTAATGGCCTGGGAACACATCACAAACAAGCATCAGCATGAAGATCTATGTTCAATGGTTAGATCATTGGGTGTCCAAACGCTAATGTCATATTTATTTTATTTAGCGTCTGACTGAATGCATTTGGGAATATTCCACAAAATTAAATCATCACAGATTTTAAGCAAGAGGCTAAACTATTAGGACACAGAATTCATGCATTGTGAATGATCTTATTAAAATAATTGAGTTCAAAGTAGACATCATTATATCTCATCTAGAATTTTCCTCTAATGTGAGGATATGTCCCTGCATGGTACATTTTCTCTATTTTACAGCTGCCCTTCCTGAGATGCAGACCCTTGCAGCTCTCTGGGGCAGGAAGGTGAAAGTTCTGGAGGATGCAGTGTGCCTTTAACCCACTGAAGAGGGTGCATGTGTCCAAGGCTCTCCCCTTTGCCATAAATATTTTCTGATCTTTTCAGGAGATCAGTTGCATACATGTGTTCAAAACCAATCATTAGTCTAGGCTAACTGACTCAGACGGTTGCACTCGGTGGGGGAAAAGATTCTCTAGTGGTGTCTTCTTTACAGAGAAATTCATTCCAATTGCTCCATCTTGTGGTCGAAAAGAAAATGACCAGATTTTGTTTCTTCTGGGTGTAAGCCACGGAAGAACCAATTGAACCCATCTGTCTCTCTCTGATCTGTCTATAGTCTCTTCGTTTTTACGTATTACATTTCAAACAAATTGCTCCAAAGAATGGCACGGTTGCTCATATATTTGCAGTCAGTGCTTTCCTCTTTACAGCTCGGAGATAAGTGTATGTCTGCGTTCACAAGTGCTAGACGCAAGCCGCCTGCTGCTTAGGACGCATGCCCTGCTCTGTGATTGAGACCCAGCTTAGACTGCAAGTCCGTAGGACTTTAGTCTGCCAACTTCCTCCCAGCATCCTGGAAACACAGAGGCCGTCACAATCTCTGTCATCTAGAGCTCTTTTTCCATTTCCATCTGGTGATTGTTACTCTGAACTACATACGAGGTTTTTGAGAAACAGTGAAAGGAAACAATTTCTGTGTTCACTCCCAAAGTGCTTATTAGTTATTTTTACCCTCGCTATATCTTTGATGTGTTTTTCCGTGCCATACCATAAAATATACTGTGATGAGGAATATACACCTTTTCAAGGCAAGCCACGTGGGGCATCTACGACAAGGACTCAGTGCTTCGGAAGGCCCTGCATGACAGCCTGCATGACTGTTCCCATTGGTTTTATACACGCTGGAAAGATTGGGAGTCCTGGTATTCGCAGAGCTTTGGTTTACATTTTTCCCTGAGGGAAGAGCAGTGGCAAGAAGACTGGGCATTCATCCTCTCGCTTGCCAGTCAGCCTGGAGCAAGTTTGGAACAGACACACATTTTTGTACTTGCACATATTCTTAGACGACCAATCATAGTTTATGGCGTAAAATATTACAAGAGTTTCCGGGGTGAAACCTTAGGATATACCCGCTTTCAAGGTGTTTATCTGCCTCTGTTGTGGGAACAGAGTTTTTGTTGGAAAAGTCCGATTGCTCTGGGCTACACACGAGGCCACTTCTCTGCTTTGGTTGCCATGGAAAATGACGGCTATGGCAATCGAGGTGCTGGTGCTAACCTGAACACAGACGATGACGTCACCATCACGTTTCTGCCTCTGGTTGACAGTGAGAGGAAGTTACTCCACGTACACTTCCTGTCTGCTCAGGAGCTAGGTAACGAGGAACAGCGGGAAAAGCTGCTCCGACAGTGGCTGGACTGCTGCGTCACTGAAGGCGGGGTTCTCGTTGCCATGCAGAAGAGCTCCTGCAGGCGAAATCACCCTTTGGTCACTCAGATGGTGGAGAAATGGCTTGACCGTTACCGACAGATCCGGCCCTGCACATCCCTATCTGACGGTGAGGAAGACGAGGATGATGAAGATGAATGAAGCAGCCAGTGCGCAGGAGACGTAGACTCTGCCGCACCCAAGCTGGTGTGGTGCTGCACGCCTGTCGGGGGAACAGCACCACCCCAGCTGGCACAATCAGCTCACAAGAAGCTGTGTAATAGGAAACGTCGTACCAGCATCTTCATATCATTGAGATTTCCTTCCAGCGTGGGCACTTACAAAAGCACATGGTGGAGACTCTTCCTTTGAGGTGTCCTTGGCGGAACCTGACTCTCCGTTACTGCCGAGGCCCCTTCACTTACGATATCACTAGAACTCATTAGCCATTTGACATTATTTTTCTTTTGGTATAAATTATCCACAGTAAAACATAAAAATAAATAAGTTTTTATTTGATTAATTAGTTCCTGTTATGCCCAATAAAATCATATCAAATCTTTAAGGAACAAACTGCAAAAAAAAAAAAAAATTAAGAGAAATTCATTAAGCTCACCATGTTGTGCAATCATGACCACTACCTGTTCCCAAAATTTTCCATCACCTTTTACAGAAGGGTGTTTCTTTACCTATCTATATAGCATTTGGGAACTCTGGCAGCCCGGTGCGTGAGGTGGTCTGCTGTCAACCAAAAAGTAGGAGGTTTGAAACTACCAGCTGCTCCATGGGAGAAAGAGGCACAGTTTTCTGCCGGGTGACTTACAACCTCTGAAAACCCACTGGAGGGTCAGCTGTGAGTCAGGTCTGCCTTTATAGCGATAAGCTGTGACTTTCGAGCATGTACTTGTAGAGGGCTTTCTGTATGGCAAGCACAGTGCTGGATCTTGGTAAAGGAAGATGTAACCAAACATCATCACCGTTTACCTTTACAAGGTTTTACCTTAATTGGAGGTGGGTACACAGACATTAACTAGTGATAGAAATACAAAAATGCAAATTGTAATAATTTGTGATAGGAGTATAAAAATAAATGAAAGATCAAAATAAGAGACCCAAAAAAGAAGAGCTGTGACCTTTGGAACCTGATTTTCCTGATGAAGGGACATTTGAGCTGAGATCTGAAGGAGGAACCAAGAGGGAGCAAGTGTATTACAAGCAGAGGTTGAAAGGCTGACACACGTTCCCAGAGAGCAGAAACATCCAGGGTGGAGAAGAAAGGGAGAGGATTGGTTCCTGAAGAGCCTGCGAAGCTGGAAACCAGAATATATATGGCTTTGGTGAGCTGTGGTGGCCTAGTAGCAAGAAGCTGTGCTGCAATCCCGAAGGCTCAGGGTTCGAATCCACCAGATGCTCAGCTGGAGAAGGAGGGCAATCTCCTGTGCCAGTGGGATCTGATTTGACAATACACAAGAATAAAAAAATAAAAATTTTAAAAGCACGTGTTTCAAATTTGGCCATCTGCCACATGTCTTGCCCATATGTTGTTGAGTCGCAAACGACTCAACGGCACATAACAACAACAACAACAAAGCAGGTTTTTAGAGGCAGTAAATTGTGTGGAAGGAGATTGCCCGTCTTGCTCCTGGAGAACAACTGGTATATTCGAACTCCGTATGTTTACATTTGAAGTGCAATTCTTTACGTCTGAGCTACCAGAGCTCCGGCTCACAACACCTGTAGCAAAAGAGTCACACCAGTTCTTTCTGAAATTCCTTGTGTAGCTTTGGGTCAGGAAAATGCTGTGTGTACCATTGGCCAGGTAGTGCTCCTTTATTCTGCCCTTTGACTCATAGCTCCGTCTCAAGAAGGTGCTGTTGGGGGAGAGTCAGGGACACCTAAGTCTGGGAGCAAGTCCAAAAATAAGTGCTAAATAAGGCAGAGGAGGATTACTCTCCCACCTCCACCCTCTGTTGACGAGGCTACTGAGGACAGTGCACAGACTCAGAGATTCTCCCTGGGAGCTTGCTACCCTCCCTTCACCTCTGGCTTATCCAGGACCCAAGGGTATTTGTGTGCATGTGCGTAAGTGACTATTGATTCTGTCCTTAGCTACAAAGAGTGGCTTTTCTCTGCAAGCAGTCAGCCTGAAAGTTGCACAACACTGACATCTGGTGCTTGCGTGTATTTGGATATGGCAGGAACTATTGTGAGTTTTCGGTTTGTAAAACAAAAAAAAAGATTTTCAGCTTGAATAAGCTTAGTGATGGGAAAGTATAAAGTGGATATACAGTTCACGAGTTAATCAGTTTGGGGAGACAGCAGTTCATCGGGGCAGGAAGATAGGCGGTTGGTGGAAAATAGTAGGCTTTTTAAAGGACTGGTCATACAGTCAATGAATTTTAAGGTCTAAGAAATTTAGACTCTATTATTGTTGTTAGGTGCCATCAAGTCACCTGTAACTCATAGTGACCCTGTGTACAATAGCTCTGACGCCTGCTCTATCCTGAGCCAATCTCACTGTCTTCGACACACCTCTCTTCTTTACCCCAGCCACTGTGTCAATCCAACTCATCCAGGGCCTTCCCCTCCTGCACTGGCCTGTCTCCTTCCAAGCATGATGTCCCTCTCCAAGGACGGGTGCCTCTCAGGCACACGCCTGAAGTATGTGAGATGGAACTTCAAAATCCTTGCCTCCAAGAAGAAGTTGTGTTTCCCCTTCACTCGAGGCTATAGTTATTGAGATAGGATGCTGGGAAAAGTTAACTATGCACAACAGAAACATCAGTTACCATGTAGGCCAGTCATTGTGGCAGAATGCAGGACATAAAGAGGCCAACACAAAATATGTGAAGAATGAATCCAGATGGGATGTTAGCTGTTCATTGTTTATTGGCCTTCTCATGGAATGGTTGTATGACTACCTACTGGAATCTCATTTCTTGGAAACAGAGGAAAGAATAGATTTCCTTTTATTGGTTTTCAGTTTTTATTTTGTTAGGTTCAAGTTCTATTCCAGAAAATTCAGTGTTTCTCCGCAACTCACTAGGGTGGTAAATACTTAATCAGTGAGTTTCCCCACATTAGAACACATCTTTTTTGGTGAGGAACCAAGAAGGTTTTTGCAAGTATGATAAGGACCCCTGGTGCAGGCTTTGCAAGAGTCTCTACAAGATCCTTTTACAAAGCACGGATAACTGGGGCTGACCGTGGAGAAAAAGGAAAAATCTCAAGCTCACTACCATCAAGTCAGAACCCGCTCATTGCTGGCCCTTTTGCCTATTTCCAGAGGCTATAACGAAGTGATTATCTGAGTTGTACCTGGGATGAATACGAATAAAAATGATATTTATTCTTTAAAATTAGGATCTATTTTCTGCATTATTTCTTGTTCTCAAGGATTCTTTGAAATATAATCCTACACAGATATATTATCCTTTACCAATAAAAGTAAATCATTGACTGTGTGAAATAAACAACATGCTATGTTATTCATAGGGTCGCTATGAGTCGACTCGACGGCACATAACAACAAGAACAACATGTTATTCATGGGAATATCCTTCTGATTTCTATTGTATTCCATTAGTCAATAAGTCCATCCTTATACCATGTTTATAGTTTTTTATGTTTTATAGAAGAGTTTTGGTGGTTAATAAATCCTTCCCTCCCCCCAAATGTATGTAAGTCCAGTTCTCATTTTTCTCCCAAGGGTCCTCTGGTGGATGCAGACTCCCAGGGAGACACCACTTTTGGGTTAATAGAACAATTACCTAGAAACTAATTTAATAAGCTTGTATAGAATGCTCTATTGTACATAGACAATATTCTCACCACTGAGCCAATTGGAAGCACCATGATGGATGGAGAAGAGATTGAGGTTGTTAACAATTACAGCTTGTTTGGGTCTACAGTCAACAGTCTTGACACCAACAGTCAGGAAATCAAAAGACAAATTGCATTAGGTAAATCTGCCGTTAGCAGGGACCTTTCTGGAGTACTAAGAAGGAACAAAGTCAGTCTAGAGACTAAGGTTTGCCTGATCCAGTCCAAAGTCTTCACAATTGCTTGCTATGCATCAGAGAGTTGGACCATGATTAAGGATGATAGAAAAAAATAATTGATGCCTTTGGTGCTAGAGAAGAGTCTTGAATATACCATGGACTGCCAAGAAAACAAATAAGCCTGTCTAGGAGAGGGCGAAACCAAGTTTCTCTTTGGAGACTAGGATTTTGAAGTTCCATCTTACATACTTTGGGCATGGGTCCAGGAGGGACCAGCCCTTGGAGAATGACATCATACTCAGATGGGTGGAGACACAACACAGGAGAGGAAGATCCCAGATGAAATGGATTGATACAGTGACTAGGGCAATGGGAATAAGTGTGTTGGAGTCAGTGAGATTGGCTCAGGACAAGGCAGGCTTCAGAGCTGTTGTAGATAAGGTCGCTATGAGTCTCAGGCTACTTGATCACACATAACAACAACAACAACATATAAAATGCTATGACCTATGGAACACAATTTTTTCTGATACACATAGGGTCACTATGAGTCAGAATTGATTCAGTGACAACAGATAAACAGAAATACAGTATTTCTCAAGCAATAACTACCCATTTCTCTCTACCTCACCCACTGGAAACCACTAATGAACTTTTGTCTCCTTCCATTTGTCTATGTGAGCTATTTCCTACTAGGTATCATCAAGTAAACCACAACTAATGGCGACCCTCTGATCAACAGAGCTGAACTCTGCCCTATCAGGTGCTTCCTCATAATCTCTGATATGTTCTAGCCTATTGTTATAATCACTGAGTCAGTTCATGTTTTTGAGAGTCTTCCTTGCCTTTTCTGATTCCTTCTCTCCCCTTTTTCCAGCATGATGTCTTTTTTCAAGACATGACCCCTCATGAAAACACGCCCAAAGTGAGATTAAGTTTCATTCTCCTTGCTTCTAAGGAGCACCCTCGTTATGCTTCCTCCAAGAGAGACTTGTGAGGGGTTTTTGGCAGTCCGTGGAGTGTTCAGTATTCTTCTCCAGCACTATAGTTCAAAGACATCAATTCTGTCATCTGTATTCATTGTCCAATTTTCAGATGCATGGGAAGCAGTTGAAAAAACAATAGCTTAGGTAACAGGCACCTTTGTCTTTAAACTAACAC